CCACTCTCTGCCCTGGCACACCTAGCAAGGTGTGCCAGGGCACACCTAATTATTTGGGCCAAGTCCCATTTCCGTTTCATCATTTGTTTCTCTCTCTCTCTCTCTCTCTCTCTCTCTTGCACTTTTCACATTTTCCAACTCGTCTCCTATAGAGGGCCCACCTCCACACCCACCACTCTCCGGCATCCGATTCACCAGCCCAATGGCGGCGGTCTACCCGGAGTCCCTCGACTCCTCCCCTCGCTCCCGCCAGAACGACTCCTGGGACACTGATCGGTCTGATCCTCTTCCGCCGCCGCAAAAGCTCCGATTCATGTGCAGCTATGGCGGCCACATAGTCCCCCGCCCCCACGACAAGACCCTCTGTTACATCGGCGGTGACACCCGCATCATCGTCATCGACCGCCACACGTCCCTCGCCGACCTCCGCCAACGTCTCTCCAAAACCCTTCTCCACAACCAGCCCTTCACCCTAAAGTACCAGCTCCCCAACGAGGACTTGGACTCCTTAATCTCTGTCTCCTCCGATGAAGATCTCGAGAACATGGAGGAGGAGTACGACCGCCTCAATAATCCCTCCGCCGGGTTGAAGAACGGCCGCCTCCGTCTCTTCCTGTTCCCCCAGACCTCCTCCAGTAGCATCGAGCAGCTTCTGGTTGAGACCTCGTCGACCAAATCGGAGGACTGGTTCTTTAACGCCCTCAACGGCAAGGCGAGTACTTTGTCCGCCGGCGCCAGTGATCGTGGTTTTTCCGAGTCTTCATCTGTCAATTGTCTCCTCGGATTGGACGACGATTTAGTCGGGAAGGCCGTGGTGGGGCCAAAAAACGTCGAAGCCCAAATCGAGGGTTCTAAATCTTGCGGAAATGTGAACGTTAACGTCAGCAATCAAGATGTGAACTCGGTCCCCGATTCTCCAGTGCTTGAAACGACGTCGTCCTTTGGGTCCACCTCGAGTTCTCCGTCAGTGGCCAATTTGCCGCCGATTAGGGTTCATGTGGAGGAGAACCCGAAGGTTGGAATTGAGGATCAGTTTCAGCAGATGAATTTGGGGGTTGTTGGCAACGTGAATTTAGTGGCGGCGCATAAGCCGGAGGAGGCTGGGGGTCTGGCGGCGGCGGCGGGGCAGGTGGTTTCTGGGGTACCAGTGGTTGTCGGCGGTGAGTACCCCAATCTCACTCGGGTTATCTCCGATGATGAAAGATCGGATCACGGTGGGTGCAGAAAGGTACAACAGGTTCAGCAACAGGTACAACCACAGCTGCCCATTCCTCAGTTCCAGCAGAGGCAAGCTACTACCTTTGATTTAGCTTCCCCAGATTCAGTTTCAAGGTACACTTAACATCCATATATTAAAAACAAACTTTAATTTCTGTTTTCTTGTATATATGATAATTACTCGTGAATTATCATATGTGCTTATGTGTTCGAATTCTTTAGATTAGAACTCACAGGGGTAACATATTGAATGATTTGGTTGATACAGTGAAGGAAGTATGACAAACCCATTGTCCAGACAGAGACAAGCTATGTATCAAGATTCAATCTTGCAATTACAATCTGTAAACACTAAGGTTGCTGCTAATCAGCCCGATCCAAAACCCGTGGATCAAAATAACACTAAAATTGAAATGCAACCCCAAGTTCAAGAATCATCGACCTATGTGTTATCCAGCCAATACGAACAAAATCAAACTCGGTTACATCACCCACAGCAATTTCTTCATGCTGGCAATCATCAATATATTCGTTCGGGACCTGTCCCCATGGCATCTTATTACCCAATTTACACTCCTCAGCAGCAAAATAATCCACACCAGCCCACAATGGATCAGCAATACCCTTTTTATTTTGTTCAAGCTAGGCCAGCCCCAGGGTACAACATTCCAATGCAGCAAACGAATTACAATGAATTAGCACCAAATGCTCCTTCTGGTCGACCCCAAACACCTCCTTCTAAGCCTGAAATTGTTTATCAGACAGCAATTGGGTCGGGCCAGCAATTGATCCAGCCCCAGTACGTTGGGTTCACCCAAATTCATCATCCATCCCAATCGGTTGCACCCTCGTCAGCCACAAATACAACTTATGCTTATGAATTTACTGATCCTAATCATGCTCAGATGTATTATAACCAGGCCCTGCCGCCTCAATTGGCTGCTCACTACCAGACTCTTACGTCGGCCCCTGCTTTGGTTGATGCATCCGGTCAGGTACCTTTGGAGAATATCAAGCAGCAACAGAGGAATTTGCAGCAGTGACAGGTGAGTTTGGTGTGGATATGAACAATTTTGCAGTCATGGGGTTTGGTTTATACTTGCAATCTGTTTTTACTATTCTTATTGGTCTCGCTGGTTTGTAATATTAGCAAGTAATAAGGGATTCTGGGATTTGGTCATCTTTCTATCTCGTGCATGTCACTGCTGTTATTTAGAGAAAGTGGGACTATCTTTGGTGTGATACTGTAAAATTTCAAGGATGTTTGAAGGATTACATACATGGTGATCCTTATATGTGTGTGTGTGTGTGTGTGTGTAAGATATTGAATAAATATGATATGGTATTTGAACTTTTAGCATATTGTTGCTTTTGGGGTAAATTATTACCGGTTGGTTGTGTTTATTCATTTGCTAGAGCATCTGTAGATTTTGTGGGGCCTGATACTTAATTGAGCTTTTGCGCATTTTAGCTTTCTCGATTAGCTTTGATGTTGTTTTTGGTGGATATGGTCGGAATCAATTTTTCGTTCGATTGATGAAGCAAAGCGGGTTTACTCGTATGACTGTAATTTGACGACATGGTTCGAAATTACATGTCCATTTCAGTAAACTCGAAATCTTGTTTCTTTTATGCAGTTCATCTTGTTAGTTGTTTCCCACATTTATAAAATCAGGTCATAGATTTTCCGGTTATATACTGATAACTTTGCTTCCTCACATATCATATAATAACCTCAATCACATTCAAATGACCGGAATGCTTTCTTCTCTATCAGAAATATTTATATGATGTAAGCTAAATAAATTATTTCTGACAAAAAATTTATGGAACATCGAATGATTTTCTTATGGAGTCATCTATCACTTAATGTGTTGACGTCTGTCCAAAGTGTATTTATTGCGAGACACGTCTCAACACACTATTTGTGAATATGTGCGGATGACTCCATAAGTCGTGTCATCCGATGGCTCGAAACTGTTATTTCTGATGCTTTAAGTTGAAATTCCACAGTTTAGGGGATTTGTGATCTTCTGTGTAGAAATTTATTGGCACGTTAAGTCATAAACATTTGCCTTGGGATTAGTATAGTAAATGGGTTAATAATGGGTACGAGGTATGTAATTAAAAAATGTATTAAAAACAGAGTCAGTAGTAAACTAGTTAAAGATGGCAGAAATTAAAAAATAAAAATAAATAAAATAAAATAAAAAAAATGAAGGTGTTTTCCTCTGACAATGAAAAGCTGGAAGGTCTGCTCTCCATGCTGCCATGCCATCTTTGACTATATGTTTAGACATTTTTAACATAATTTGATTGATATGCTGACTATGCCATGTTATACCCACAACCTCATACATGTGTGTGTATTTATACCTCCATGTCATTTGAATATCATGGGGTTTCAACAAAAACAAGTGTTAATATAGAAGTTGCTACGCACTCGACCAGCTCTTTGCGCCTAAAGTGTGTAGACGAGGTCTAAAAATCAAAACTAATAAATTTGTTGTTTGTTTATTTTATTTACCTACAAAATAAGATTATCTCAACTTATTATAAAATAACACACCTAAGTCTAAATGTTAATATTAATATAGTATAAAGAAAACATGATAACAAAAAGATGTAATTAGTATTAGAAAAACTAAAAAATTAAAAATTATAGCCGAGCTTGCCTAGGAACACTTAGGCCCATTTAGGTGCCTAGCCGATTTGTACAAATCAGAAGCGGCCAGGAGCGTAGCCAGAAAAACTTTTAACCCGGGGCTGCATATTATTGTAGCTATTATTGGAACCGAGTAGACACATGGGTCAGGCCGGCACAAAACAACACAAAACGACCTGTTGACCATGGGTCTTCAACCGGCCCGTGATTTTGACCAGTCCGGTTCATGTTCAGTACTTTATAGTTTATACATTTCGAACCGGCGGTTGTGGTTTCGAACTTGAACCGTAACCGGAGGCCCGACCTTTTTTTAAGAAAAAATATTTTTTAATTATATTTATTTATTTTAATGAAACGGGCAGCCAAAAACTGAAAACTCAATGAACCGACTAGTGCATATGTTGGGGCTGGCGATTTTAATATGGAACCGATTTTGTCATGACTAGAACTGAATTATCTATTAACATATTCCAGTTCGAATTGCGAAAACTCAATTTGGACTTGTTTATACATTTAAGCAAGTCAAACTCAAATAGCTAATCGAACTTGTCGATCAAACAACTAGAGTCGAACATGTTTGCAATCAACTGTGTAAGAGTATTTTTTTTATCTACAAAATGAGGCCAAATTAATTGTTGGAGGCGAATTCAACAAAAACCGAACAAAAATAGTTAACAAAATGTGCAATGAGACAAACTCAAAATAGCCCGCTGGACAAGTGTGTGTCAAACTTAATTATTCAACTCATTTGGTATTTGTTAAATCAATTCATTAATAAGTTAAAAAACATAAGAGTGTTTAACCACATTATAAACTCAACTGACAAAAATTTAATAAGAGCATAATTGTCATTTGACAATAAATGATTGTCTCCTTTCCTCTCACTATGATCATCACTTGTCCACCATTGTTGTCAAATGAACAAAATTGACCAAAATCTTGAGACATCGATCCCAAAATTAGATGGGGCTAAACAAAAAAATTACATGGGGCTATATATAAAATTTTCAAAAATTTAAAGTTAGATTTTTTTTAATGGACATGGGACTGGAGCCCACCCTAGCCCAAGGGTGATTCCGCCCCTGGAAGCGGCTAACTAGGTCAATTTTCAGTACAATAATAAAAACAAGTATATGTGGCAAGTGGCAACCGTGATAGCCATATATGATATTATTTTAGGGTGTTGTTAAATACCGTCCCCCTTTTTACTAAATACCGCCCCCCTAAAAGACAGTTTTACCCTTTTTAATATAAAAATATTTTTTTTTGTTGGCCGACCTTGAATGCCGACCGTAGCCGTGCCGGCCTTCTTTTTTCCGGTTGGCCGGCCCATGCACGGCCGGTTTTGCCGGTTGACCGCACCATGCACGGCCGGTTTTGCCGGCCGGCCGGCCAATTTTTTTTTTTTTTTTTTT